CCGTCATTCGCTCATAGAGTTGCATGAATTAACTATATGTCTTCAGTAGGTAAGTGGAACACGAGGAGAAGTGGTTTCGCATCTCTCATCACGGCATTCGATACTGAATCTTTTATCTTACGGTCTTCACGCTTTATCTTGTGACCTCTCTTTAGCGAGAATCGTCGGATTAAATCTTGTCGGATTTGTGCGACTTGTGCGGTAATAAAATTGACTGACCTGACAATATGCTTGTGTCTTTCAACCCAGTACTTGATGGCACTTCTGACGAGCATTTCTTGCTTCTTCGTTAATCCGTTCGGTCCTACGCCACCATTGAAAGTCATACCAGCAGTTGGCCGGAAAGTTGCCGTGAAGTCCTGTCGATTGCTGTATATATTACGAAGATCGAGATCCAGCATGTTGTCGCCCTGGGCTGCTGCTGAAGGTGGTGGTGGCTGATTGTTCTCATTCGATTCACGAAGATGATCCGCACTACCAGCCTATATATGCACAAAATAATCTCATTGACACATGAAGTCTGAGAAAAATTTTATGCAGAAATTTACATCGTTTTAATACTTTGGATGATAGAAATTGTTTCTTATGTCAACGTTAAATTTTGTTTGCTTAAGAAGCTAATTTTGATTAATATAAAAAGAAAATCCTATTTTTATTTTAAAATAGAAATGGAATTTTTTTTTATATTGATTAAAATTAGCGTCTTAAAAAAAACTTTTAAATGTGAAAAATAAAAAAATATATAGATTTAGATTTGAATGTGGGGAATAAAATTTATATAATCAACATTATCTGTGGAGATTGAAATTTGACAGACCTTGAAGAGCTCGCTGCTATTCGGTACCACCGTATCCAAAGTTGCGCTCAACTCCATGAGTGGTTTCATAATCTGTTTCAGGTGCTGCAACTGTTCGCAGGCAAACAATAACCATGAGCAGAAAAGCACATCCAATGAATTGGCATTAACAAGCATGAAGAACACCCAATAGAATTGGTAGATGAGCATCAATATATGCGTTATTCCCTTGCTGGCATCGAACGGATAGAACGAACGGACCAATAGTTGTGGCAACTATATTATAAGAAATATATACAGAATAAGAAAGATACTCGAATAATTATACCATACAATAACGTGTTTTAATTATATTGGTTATACATTACAATTTAAATTATGATATTTCATTATAATTCTGTTATTTAAATTATATATTATAATTTTAATAATTG